CCCCCCCCTCGCTATGGGTCATGCCTAAGCAAAACCTTGCCGAGGCAGCGAGGGGAAGAAGGGGAGATTCATACAAGCGATCCCTCCGGAGTGGGCTCATGAGAGCACACCAGTGCCATCCAGGGGTGATGCAAGATGAAAAATAACAGGCAGCAGGACCAGCCCACAGCTGGCAGCCAGCTGCCAACTGTGACGTTGCCAAGCTCAACAGCTCACACGCCTGACGTGTTTTGACTCGGTAAACACAAGTAACCTAGAAGAAAATATCATATCCAGTAAACTTAACGAACCAAACAAGAACAACAAATCTGTGCAGTCTTAAGCCCAACACTAACCTAAAAGAAAAAAGCAAACAATTAACTTGGAACCAAAAAAGAATACAAAGCTGGGCAGTCTCAAGCCCAACACTTTTATTTCTCCCTCCCTGAACACCAACGCGGCTGTGCTCCGTATCAGGTCGAAATTAGAACATGCAGACGGTCGCCTCACATTGTAAATTGCAACACCCTGCACCACTTAACCGCGGTTAGTCTGGGTTTTCTTGAAAAATCTGCCTGGGGTCGCTCTGAAACAACACGAGCCTTTAACACGGCAGATAAAATGAGCACTTGACTAGCTTATGCCAGAAACACCCTCGACGCCATCTCTAACATCGTAGGCTACGGTCACGCCCGCTTGATAATTCAAACCAGATATACACGAAAAGTCTCACACGGAAGGGGACCTATCTCTCCAAAAACGTCCGGTCGGGACACTTAACATCCTACCGAGCAAAATAAATCTAAGCTCAATGAAACTAAACGATAATACTACAAGGGATTTTTCCCGCACTGTTATATAGAAGTAGATGATACAAATGACAAAAACACAAAGCATAACAAGTAACAAATGTTGGCAATGTCTCAACTACGAGGAGGGACGGTGCCCAGTGTCCACCAGCGAATTCCTAGTGAGTACCAGTCCTACATTTACTGCAGAATGCGCGAGTGGATCCCCCCGAAGCGGGAAGAGCAATACGTTTGTGGCATCACTTGAACAACGAGTCCGATAGGAGAAAGTACACCGGAAATAGTTATCAGAGACCCCAGCCGAACGCCCCGACCGAGATGTCAAGTAGAGAATGCTACCAGGCCATCTTCATGGCGTTGGGCTATCCGACGCTTCCTCATGTCGTCCACGGCAAAAACGACATTGGTTCAACACCCCGCGGGCACGCACACATACAAACCGCTGATGGGCATTTCGACAGAAACCTTCGCTTCGAAGCAGTTCATGCCCTTCATCTCAACAGCTGTGCCGGAGAAAGACGATGCTGTTCGAACTACTACTTCCGCGTCCAAGATGAACAGAAAGTCTACGAATGCTTTGAGGGCAGCAATCTTGGGGTGTGCAGAGAAAGTGGTATGGGCGTCGCCTACCGGAACACCGACATCCACCAATCCAGGCAGCATCTTTCGACCCGCAGCTTCGGCGGAGCAGTTGCGCGCCATGCTCATACTGTACAGCAAGAGCGCGCCGGTGGATGGGGACGACTCCTTTTCACATACGTACAAATTGCTAAGCATCCCAACTTCGGTTTGTTGGAGAGCACGCACGACATTCATCCCGCCTCGCGAACCAAAGCCAGCAGAGGCGATTGGCGTCGTGAGTATCGTTGAGGCAAGATTATTTGCCTTTCACCACCATTTACTGCTCAAACATCGGATGCGGCAGAAAACGCGCCTACACGCGTCGGGGAGGCCATCGTGCTGGAACAATGTCCTCACCTGTTGGAAGAGATGAAGAGCGGCACATCGCCCTCGTCCGCATTGAAAGCAGCGGGGCAGGCGCCCTTCGCCTCCTCCGTTGCCGCGAAGTACCAATTACAAACCACGGTCGACCGCAAATTGTTGAAGATGTAGGTGTGGATTTTCGGGTCAAAAGACCCTGCGGTTTCTCCCTCGGTCGTTCGTATTTGAAAAGCGATGTATTTTTGGAACCGGGACATTGAGCTGCCTTCCACTCTCCAAGGGTTGTAGGCCTCCAACCTCCTCATCATCGCAGCGCTGAAAATGCGTACAGATGGGTGCATCAACGAAAGACGAAACCGCGACGTGAGCAGCATAATCGGAACCACTGTACGATGCTAGGGTGCGATTTCTAGAGTGGGTCGACTCTTCGAATACGGGGAATCGTACATTACATTACCTATTGTACTTCGAATGCTATGTCACGAACGTAGCCTACAACATTTCGTTCGCGAAACAAACGACACGATAGATACTCCACGTTGCTTTCGCACCTGCGTCTCACGAACATGTTCCACGTACAGGGTTGGGAAGCAGGCAGCCCGTTTTGCAACCCGCCGCTGATCCAATACCGAATCTTCACGGGAAACACCTTTTTCAGCTGAAGCATCATGGCGTCTGGATGTTGTATCGCGATGCCCACCTTCGACGCCAACATCGTGAGCTGGTGGTCGCACAGGACCATAAAGCCGTCGTAGAACCGGAACAAGTGAAAGCCAGACGGATTTACACCTTCCAAATGCGACAAACGTTCAATTTCCAAGACGGAGTCTCATCACGAGGCTCCATGTCGCCAAGTACCACGAATCGGCCAACAAAAACTGCTGCGCCCGGTACGAACACACACCCACACGATTTTGGAAGCGTGTGGCGATTGGGACTCGTGCCTTGCCGGGTAGCTTAGACATCTCACGGTACCTGAAGAGAGGTCTAGATGTTGTGTTCCGAATAAAAATGGCCACAACGACGGCATAGACATTTCAATCGCCATGATATTGTTGGGTGGTGCGACTGTGCACACGGCATCCAAATTTGCCCCACTTGAGAACTTATCACACTGACAATCGATACTGTTCTTGTCAGGTAGGTCTCTCGGTGGTCGTTTTTCCCGTGCCTTGGGTCGATGGCTGGGTCGCTCAAAAACCAAACCAACCTCGACTGATCTCCTTTGCTCTTCGACGGAATGGCTCAGTGTCGATGTCCCACTTGAGCTCCCCTGTGTCAAATGCGTCTCGAAACCCCTGGAAACCCTTCCAATTAATAACTAGGCCCAGCTCAAGCCAACGGGCCACCTAAGGACAGTGCCAAGGGCGTGGAGTGAAGCGTGCGTGTTAAGGATATTGTCAAAGGTGCATACCCTGGAGAGCGTGTTGAACAGGGTCCCGACGTCACTAGGCGTTTCGGGGTGAACATGACGAAGTTACATACACTGGGCCTCACACGTGTTCAGTTTACCTGCATCCTTCGTCCTGCCACGTTTCTTTTATGGCACGGGTGGTACGAGACGAAAAGTATTTCGAGACGATACCCGAAGAAAAGGCTCGAAGGATGGTGTATTTTTATGACTAGGACATACGATGCATAGAAAACCCGCGACTCATGCACCACAAAATGCAACTCCTGGAGTGCGTCGATCGGTGATCCTAGAAGGTCGTGCCTCGCTTTCACTCGGCAATGGATGCAAACAAACGTCATTGGGATGACAAATCGGCTCGGGTACCAAAGCGTTCTGGTTAGACCCATACCTGAATGATATTTCTCAAGTCCATGAACGCGTTTCCCACCCTTGACACCAGATCGAAGACCACAACCGTGCCGTTAGCGATGGCGCTTTCCTGCATTGCTGGCCATGTGCGCCACAATTCATCGCATTCACTGTCGGCGGGGGCGTGTACGAGTTGGTTGGCAGCCCCTTGCACTGCGGCTACTCCACCGCCTTGGCTGGCAGTCCCCTGAGCTGCTGGTACTCCACCGCTTGATGAAGATGACACCTCCTCGAAGCTAAACAACGGAGAAGTGGGGCACGTCGGGGTGTGGGCCGGAATGACGCAAGGCATGCGTTGAACCATTTGTTCACAGTGTAGAGATTCACCACTTCTTAAATTGCCCTCTGAAGTACTCCCCTGGCGCACGTTTTCCAAGAAATTTACATGCGGATATAGATTGTGGGCACTGAGTCATGCACCAGGAGCAACACAGGCATCAAAACGTGTCACCTCTGCCCTCTGTCGGCTTCCAAAAGCTCCAGGTTTCTGGGATTGGGCAGGCCTTCGACTCTTCCTGCCCGGCAAGGATGTCGGAACCAACGGGTACAACGAATTGTGCGAACAAAAAGCTCGTAGCGAAACACTTCCAAATGCGCGAGAATTGTAACGAAGGAAAAAATTGTATCTCCAAAGGTGGCCCGGCCCTGTGGTGGCGCGAGCTTTCCCACTGAAAGAGCACGTGCGCACACTGAGTTCATATTTTCACATCCCCGATTCTAACAATTTCGAGCGAAATTCAGTCGTTTAGGCTTTTGCCTGCACACCGCACCTGGTGGGATGAACTCTGGATTCTCTGGATTGTTTGCGGACAGCAATCCGAACCAATCGCTGCCTTTTTCGTCTGGTTCTGATCGACAGGTGGGGTTGACCTCTCGGCGACCGAAAGCGTAGTCTGCATGGTTTGACCGATATTCAAAGGAGGCAGTAAACCTTAAGTCACATATTGACCAACTCGCGAAATTGATGAAGCAAAAAGGTACAGCCAGGGGGTGAAACCAACCAGGTGTTCTCCAGGCACATACGAGGGACAACAACAGCAGCGTAGTGCAAGGAAAAAATCGAGATCGTGCGGTACTCACAGCCATCGCAGTCAACCCATGCAGCGTCTCCTACGTCGCCCACATCGCCTGGAGATGACCTTCGTGTACCCTTACATGCCCACCAAATATATTGCGGGGGTACCGATAATCGTACATCCTTGCGGGGCAGTTCAATAGACATGGGAGAATGGCGAGTGCAATGTTAGGACGGCCCTCCTCCTGTGTCTCCCCATCAGGGTACAGCATGGGGGCAATTCAGGAGCCGCCAAACTTGGAAGTCGAGCGTGACAGATAGCGATGCCCCACAGGCAGAGCCATATACTGAGTTGAATTTCGCATTGAAGCTATTCAGTCAGGTATCCAAGGTCGCAAGGGAGATGCGGGCGATTGAATATGCCTGGGGATGACCAAAAACAACATAAAACACACGTCACCAAACTTCAACAGCTCTGCGGAAGGGGGCCTGGAACAAGACTGATCAAGAATATAGACGGTTTACTGATGAAACGTCATGAACACCGGCCAACGAAAAGGTCGCATGATGCTGGCCTTAGGACGGACGCATGCGTCAAAGGCATGTCGATACGTAAGGAGGCCACACGCGCAATTATCCAGTCACGAACACAGTATTCAACTTTACCAGGCGTGGGTGGTCGACCTCGTACCTCTTGTCGAGTTTCGGACGGAAATGCTTCGCGAAGCGTTCCAGCTGATGCAGTGTCACCACCGCCGGTGACTCCCCCCTGTTCCGTGCGGTGAGCACCGGTCACCGTCGGGATGGAGTAATCGCTATCGATTTTTGAGCACAGTGCCTCGGCGTGGTCACCATCACACCTGTACGGCTGCGGCGCTGAAGGTCGGGTCGGTCTTCGGTGCCCTGGTCCATCCTCCAACATCCGGCAGATGGGGTGTCTCGCCGTGTTGGCGCACTGTTGCGTCGTCAAAAGCACCACACCAAGTAGTGCGCGGCTCGGAAACGTCAGCCTCGGCAAAGGTGGCATGTTTGGCCTGGGCTTGGCAAAAGGTAGATTGGTAGGGGCGGGAACACAGCGCACCAGAGCCAGAGCGAGGTTAGTCCGGACAGCCAAACATTGAGTATAAGAAATACATTCAAGACGTCACAATGTTGCCAGCTCTGCGACATGCTGCGTACAAGCAGGTTTCGGGGCATATCTTGACCATCGGCCAAACGACAAGCTTGGACTGAAAAAGAAATGAAAATCAAATTCACGACCGAGTTGTAAGAAACTCCAGGCGTCCTCAAAGTGTCGTTGTTCGGTCCTGCACTGTACCCAAGTATGTTCAACGTTTGAGCCCCATGCGCAATGCTATGCTTGCGCGATCAACAAAATCCCCCCCTCACGGTGACAACCTGTTTCGAAAAACCACTTGACATGAGCAGCAGCAAATCTGTGTTGACCATATAGTCTAGAGTGCACAGGTAGGTGGTTAGCGGCGAGGTAGATGCACGCAGGCACTCGCCGTCAGCCAGCGCGAATGCCGTGCTTGCTTTCGTACACTTTCGTAGTAGCCCTCATGCCGATCTTTCCTTGTCCTGGTAAGCATATCGATCTGTACCCGTCTGGGCCAGTTAGTCTGCGACCACGGCAGGTATCGACGTCAGATGGACCAGTACGGACGTTAAAGGTACTGATCAGAGATCGGAACGGTTACTAATATGACATTAAGTGTCGCGAAGGCCATCGCATCAAACCATCACATGGAGCAGCGCAACAACGCCACGAATCTTGGTCGTCTTCTGGTGTATGTACATACAGATAGCGCCCGCACTTAAGAACTCAGCAGTTAAGAAATTGAGACTCGAAAAAATCAGAAGCAAAGAACTGGAGCACCATTTGTGAGCCCGATTAAGAACCCGTACACTAAAACCCATATTGCGGCCAATTGTAGCCCACAAGAGGATCATCAGCAAAGTAAGAACCCCAGCCTCGGCCGAAACTAGAGGTTGTTAAGTGCGGGCGCCATCTGTAGTGCGCTTCAGTTGGCTTCAAGTCTTGTGTCAGCTCTCCAGGCACAACACACACCGCTCAGCAATGTTTTCGCCCGCCTGTTCACCAGGGCAGTTGCCAAATCCTGCTCGAGAGAAGCAGGTATATGCTATGTCTCGTACATTGTCGAAACGCGTGTGACTGCGCGCGTCCCACTTCGCGCAGGATCTCGAGGGAAGGAAGCGGTCGTTGGGAGCACCACAGCAGTATCTTAGCAACCGAGCACAGCAGGAAATGCCTAGCCGAGAGTCCAGAAGAGAAGCATGTACACATGTATGAGTGCACACCACACCCTGGACGTTACACGAGGAACCAAGTTTTATTTAAAAAGAGCATTTCGAAGTACTTCGAAGTCTTGGTGATACAGCAGTGGTCACGTTTCTGGCACGACCAGAGGTCGCTGACATCGGAGGCTGGTTGCCCTTGGGTTTAAAACGATCAATTACTCCGCAACAATCTGGTTTGCAAACCAAACGTTTCACATAATAGCTGCACTCTCGTCTTACTCTACACCACGAGACCCAACCCTCTGAAATGCTTTTGGTCGCAAACGGTAGCTCGCGGAATGAGCCACTACCGCTGTAGATTGCGCCTGTGACCGCGAGCGCTGCAGTGAACGATGAGTTCGGTTTGGACTCAGGTCACGGGTAGCGGACTAATGCTGTGATCGAACACGCTGCTGTAGGGTTCCACCGCCTGATGATGTAGGAGCATACCCGAGCAATATAGAGCTGTGATCTACGTGCTGAATGCAAAGGGTCGGTGTCTGGGAAACCCACAACTCTCTGTCAGGACGCAGACTATCTCTACACCTCTGACTACATGTACCTCTGACCTGCCGTCGGCTTCGTATTGCTTGTGCTCGCTTGTCTGACACGCAGGCGTCTAAGCTCTGCCACACATGTATTCTGTTTTGCTCACCCGTTACGGACTGGCGTAGCAGCAGAGGGGGAGCTGTTGTTGGAGCGCCCAAAGAGCAAGCGAGTTGAGGTAGGTTTGGCCTAGACCGCGAGCATGGCAGGGCACCGCAGCCGCATCCCAGAGGCGGCAATAACAGCAATGTAGTGGCCACCCGGGGATTTAAAAAACAATCCCCGGGGTTTAACGGAAATAATTAAGGTTCCGGCGGAGCATGAGGCGGAGCCCCATCACTCATCATTCATGTTCGCTCTCGAGCTCACATCACGTTATCGCCACCGTAGATGCAATCAACGAAATCGAGCACTACTGACCCTGCAGGCAGCAGACATACAACAGCCCTATGATTTATATGGTCAGTACAAGACATACGAACAGCCCTAGACATCGTGTCCAGGGTGAAATGATGCGGCGTATTTTTTTTTGTAACCGTTTTTTTTCTCAGTATCGATCATCAACTACACCTTAGACGTTGACGGGACCGACATACGAAGAACCTGCCCGATCGGGGAAGTTAGACTTCATTCAAGGCATACAGATGCAAAAAACTCTTCCACCCATCGCACTTACAACCAACACAAGTATTATTTCGCGCAAGATCTGCGAGGTACTACTTGTAGACCGACGCGAAGGGAAAACATGCCAGCGAAGTATCGCAGCAAGTTGATGCTTGGTGCGGGCGCTGCGCCGCTGCAGATGCGCTCGCTCGTTGTTCTGCTCGTCATCGCGGCACGATTTGGCGGAGGAACAGGCACATCTGGAGTCGAACAGGATGTGGCTCTGCGACGCAGACTAGGTGTTGGGAGAGGAATCATCCATCAGAAGAACAATGCATCGAAGACGAGAAATCCAGGGGCAGCAAACACCCGCACCGAGAGGAGGACGGAAAGCAACGATACATCTGCAGTTCACAGGTTTGTGTCTGTTATGCGAGGTGTGTTCATTAAGAATCTCCTGGCCGCCTGGGATGTGTTCGTTTGACGGTTCCTACTCTAAGCAATATATTGTTCCAGGTAAACTGTGCGATGGAAAAAGGGAAGGAAGGATAACGTCATCTAGTCTACAGTAGCTACGTGTACACGCTGTGAGCAGAGAGGGACTTGGATCTGCGAAGGTTCTTCCAACATGCCTTCGGCGCTCGTCACGACAAGAAACAACCAATACGGTACCTCCAACTACATGCTGCTCAACACTTCTAAGTACAACAGCACGCCGTGTGATATTGTGCGATGAAATGATCTTTCTGTTGGAGATTCCATTAGGGCTAGATCGGCTATTGGGGACACATGTTGTCATCTTCTTCACCTATTTTCCTCACAAAGAGGAGCATGGTCGCCTCCTCCTTTAAACTACTCGACAAGGGGGTGCCGGGGTACACGGGGACAGCTCTAGTCTAGTGTGTGGATACTTTGTGACATGAGGGTAATGACAGGTCGACTCGCGGGACTATAATGTGCGCGGGTCAACAGCGAAGTTGCGCCGCGACTGTCTACCCTTGGATGGGAAGGGTTACTAATAGGGGCAAGCGAGGAAGAAGCACCTAGCCCACCGATGAAAGGTGGCACCGGGCAGGCTAGGGCTTGGGTAAGAAGGTCTCGCTTTCCCTCTAGAGGAATGCCTTGAAAACCTCCTACTCGTGCCCCACCTTCTACCATGCTCCCGCCAGTTGTTGTCCACATCAAATGTCCCTTCGATTTCGAGGGCATTTGTTCGAGGGGGCATCTGGTTAGGCTTTTGGACACGATACGGCTCAGCTGGGAAGGCAGCTTTGCGCTTGAACCGACGGATGGAATTGTCTACATCGTCTAATCAGCAGAGGTGATTCTGCCTTTTTATTCATTTCAGAACTTTCGCAAGAACACCGAATTTTCTGGCGTTCTAACCTTAAGAACCTGAGAGAAGGGAACGACCATGACAATTCAGTTCTAGGTAGTGCAGGCATGACAAAATGCTGGGGCTCACACTTGTTCGAGGCCCGACCCCCGTCCCTCACCCTACCTTTGCACTACAAAGTTGTGACCCGTGCAACGGCATAGAATAGCCACAATGCTGTTCAAGATGTCTCGCCCCACCAGGTCCAGTCTACAACCATATTTTCTATTTGAAACTGGTAGAAGGGGGATGAGTTACGTGCATGAATGCGTTCAATACTTTTTGCTATGTGCTAGAATGGGTGATGCAGGCCGTTCATGCAGCAGGTGTATTGCTGCGGTCTCGGCAAGGTGTACTTCGTTTAGTGAAACGAAAACGGGCTGGTCGCGAATCATAGGAGAGTACCAACCAAAGTTTGCACCTGAAAGGCTAACTTTTAGGGATGTTACCAATGGGCTGACTACGGAAAATAGAGTTCTGAAGTTATTAGCTTCTGTCTCTCCAACATAAATTAGTTTTGGTGGTCCCGTTTCATTTCGATACCTCCACCTTTGCCCGACCGGGTCTCAAACGTACGGCGCGCATCTCGCGACATCTCGAGTATGTCTCGGGAAACATCGCAAATCACGGCCTCTCGCCAAGAAAAGTCGAATCTCAGTGTTCGCTTTCTTTGTAGCAATCAACGGCATCATGGTCACTGCAGTCAGTAGTGGTTGAGCACATGAAAATGTGTGGGCCGAGTGAGCTACCAACGCGACCTATTAGTCCCAACAAGTGATGATACGACGAAGAAAGCGCGTACGGTGCACCAATGTGCAAGCATGCTGCATACGCCAGAAGTGTGCGACCACATGAACGACCATGCGCGTTGTTTATCTCCGCTTCACCAGTTCGCCGTCTTCCTTTATTGATCGCATTTTTCATCTTCTTAAACACTGATTTTCGATAACGTCGAATCTCAGCGTCCGCTTTACAGCAAACAACGGCATCATGTTTATTTGCAGTGAGTGGTTGTTGTTGCTGTTGTTGTTTTGTCTTCACATTCAAAACCGTTCCGGTCTTCGCTCAGTACCTTCTAATATCCCTAGTGGTCAAACTGACGCAGACGCCTTCTGTGGCCACAAACCAACTACTCCAAGAGGGTACACCTTTATTGAACGAATTTACCGTTTACTGACCCCCCCTCGTGTACAAGGTTAGTATCTGAGAATGTAACCCTTGTGATTCACTGCGGATTAGCTGTTGGCGATTTTTCCAAACGATCCTTCTTTATCGAGATCGGTAAAATACAAGCAGTTGTGACCCTGCGGTTCGGTCCGATATTGAAACGCATCAAGCACCTTTGACCTACATATACAAATGCTTGACCTCAGGCATTCAAATCGACTATGGCGACGAGTGGGATATGTGAGGGAAGAGCTGCGCTGAAGTTCGCGACCCCACGCACTCACGTAGGCCCTGATTTGCGGTGACTGTGGGCTTGAAGCTGGAACTTAAGTGGGGCAGAGTTCACAAGTGACGTCCGTCGAAGCTCCAATTTCCATAGAAGCTACTGGAAGTCGACTAGCTTCCATGGAAGTCGTCTGGGAGCTTCCAGGGAAGGAAGCCGAATTGAACAAGTTCAATTGAACAAGTTCCACAGAAGTCGTCCACCTTCGGGTAGGCTTCCATGGAAGTAGAAAGTTTCGACTTCCATGGAAGCTTTTTGGCCCAAATTAATGCAATTGTTTCACCCCGAGGTCATCCCCCTTGGAAGAAGTCAACATGATCGACTTCCTTCCACGCAAGGAAGTCCTATTCACAGGGACTTCCTTTCATGGAACCTGTATTCCGCTATAATAGCCCGAGTCCAGCGTTCATGGAGGTCATGGAAAAGGCTTTCGTGGAAGCTAGCAGGAGAAACTTCCGTGGCTGCTATCGTCCACGAGGATGCCCGCTTCGATGGAAGACATCCTGAACGACGCATAGGACGTCACACCGAAACTAGTCTTGTGTGCCAACGGTTTGAATAAAGTCGCAGAGCCTGTTGTGATATGCCGATACGCCTCCAAAGATTTTGCGTGTGTTTAACCAGAGCTAGCTGTCACATGGACATTGGCGTGTGCTTTCTTATGTGGAAGTTGCCAGACATCTCTGGCAAAGCACTTCCTCCGTGGAAGTTGATTCCGTGGACTTTGGCGTGCTTCCGTGGAAGTTGTGTTTCACGGTCGACAAACGCTTCGTGGAAGATGCTTTCATGGAAGTTGTCCTGCAGGCCTCCATGCAAGCTGTCGTGCTTCCATGGCAAACAACATATTCGCCTGATTGAGAGCGTAGCATCTGATTGAGAGCGAGATTGCGCGATACGCTGTAGCCGGACTACCACTGAGAGGTGGAGCTTGCTGTGTAGCTTGAATTGAAGGGCTAGCCCGTAGCTTCAAGCCGCTACCCTGGTCATCCTGTGGGAGTCTCTCGTTGTGGAGCTACAGCGGGGAGCAGAAGCTACAGCAGAGCCCACCGCCCGACGCGATACCGCCCTGAAACAGTTTGAGCAGAAATAGCCAATCTGGGCAAATCTAGCAACTTGTCTAGCTCCTCGCTGCAGCATCCGATGACGATGACACGCATATGCTCGCGAAGCTGCTGATGAGACCTTCAATTTGCACCGCTTCTTGGAATAGCCCGTCCCCTACTTGCCAAGAAATGGCAAGAGGCGTCTGGACCCGAAATTTCAATTTTTTTGGCTCTCGCTCTCAATCAGATACTTCGCTCTCAATCAGGCGAATATGTTGTTGGCAGTTGACAGACATCACCTTCAAACGCTTCCATCGAAGAAGCGCTTGCAGTTTTTCATCGAAGTTGTCGAGCTTTCATGAAACTTACCTTCCAGCCCTGACAACCGCTTCCTTCCGTGGAAGTTGCTTTAGTGGAAGTTGCCGTGCTTTATTGAAGAAATTTCTTTCGAGTTTCGAGGAGGGGTTCGACGGACGAATTCTCATGGATTTCCAACTTGCATGAAAACTTGCTTCGCGATTTCGTTGAAGCTATAATATGCGAATTCCCAGAAAGAAGCAACCCGCTGCTTCCATGGAAACGGGTGTCGGAACCCGACACGCAGCTTCCATACGGGATATTCTACTTTCCATGAAAGCGAAAGAAGAATCGATTGAGCTACATGAAGCTGTACATCGACGTCCACGGAAGCTTGTACCATGTTATCAAACAATGTAGGCTACCCGCTGTTTCTCTCGCCTCTCTGAGGGAAACAATGAGTTCGGACTGAATACTAGAATCTCAGGGTCCGCTGACAGCAACCGCACCAAAGCCGATGTGACAATCGATTGGTCATGTACGTTGCACACACGCGCACTCTGTACTACATGGAAAAAAGGAAGTTTTTTTGTTCGCAGTGTACATTTAGAACGTGGTGCTGACTGAGCATCAGCGACCGGCACGACCGTTTATCATGCGAACACTACAACGGTGACCGGCAGGACCACCCGTAGCCACCCGTCTATGGTAGTAGTCCGCCCCGCCGCTACCCGCAAGCAACAGCTGCAGACCGGCTGACGATACTCGTCTCGTTAACGTATCACAGAACCAGATATTGAGTTTCCAAAGGTTTTCTCACTAACCTCTGCACAGAGTGACAAGAACGCTTACCAGAAGCCCATAGGTTCGAGGGATTGCTGACGCTTTTTCATGTCGCTGTCAAAGATTTGCTTGCAATGGTGACATTTGGTCCGTTTTTGTCAAAGATCTGCTTGCAATGGTGACATTTGCTCCGTTGTCCCGGCCTCGTCGACAGTATCCAGGGCAAGCACATGGGGACGGCCACAGAAAAGCACGGTGGTGGCAGTGGTGGTGCAGCATCCGGCGCCCGTACTGCTAAAGCAGTCGGTGATGGGGCACAACAAGACGAAGCAAACTCGATAGTTGCAAGGGACAGGAGGTTCCTTCTGAAACCAGGTACAGTTTTGTCAAACGTACTCAAGGCCCTTTGTTCCGTCCAGCGTGTCTGTGGTGGTTGGGAAAACAGGGCTAACTCATAAATCTGAGTACCGCAATATGTTTGGCGAAGGCATGCTACTTGGCTAACCCTTCGTACGATATCACCAGGACTTCCTGCTCGCTCGAAGCGGGAACGCGAGAAGGGTCTCAATGCACGTTTGAAACTTACGCAGGAGGCTTGGCATTCGCTGCTGAAATGCTAAATAGCGTCTATCATTGATGGTGCACCACGCAGGTCGAAAGATAGCGGCGGTGTTTGCTTGTTCACTGATCACTCGGTAGACGTTGGTGGATGGCATCTTACAAAACTCAACGGGTAGGCAGTTGCTGCATAGGTTTCGTGAAGTCGCACGAGCAAAGCATGTCCTACACAGTCGAGACATTCACAGGTCCTACGTGGTGCTTTTCTATTTCTGGTATTTTTACTTTGCTGAGTACAGTAGTCTTCCATTGGTAGTAATCGACCTGTAACGCAACGTATTGAGTTTTTGCGTGGACCTGGTACGGTATGTTGTTTCATTTTGCCGCTCGGATTTCCGCAGAGAACTGGCAGCGCGAAGGACACGGAATCTCGATCACGGCGAAGGGAGGTGCGATCCAGTATTTTGTATCGGAACGCTTCCGACTATCGTTGTGCTGCTGCAAACGGATTGGTGGGGCTGTTGCACGCGAGCTCGCGCGCTGCAGGAGCGTAGACGGATGAGAATGTTCGATTTTCAGAATGAGTGCGGTGTCTGTCAACAATTAGATGTCCCCCCTGATTTTATTGGCAGCCCGAGGATTGCCCCGATGTTCTAGGGCGTTTGATATACTGTAAACATTTCATCTTGTCCGTCCGTCAACCCCTCTGTCCTACATGGTGGATATATACACACCCCGACAAGCTGGTCAACCATGTTTGCTTTGCCTCCGAAGAGTCGATCCTGTTGTCATCGCCCTTGCGTAGATATATGTGTTTGTTCCGCATTGTTTTCCATTTTTGCTCATGCTGTCTTTCCGTGCAAAGTCCTGAGCCCCTAAATTGTCGGTTGCCTGACACTGGTCGCTTTCCTGTGCCGCACAATGCGTCTTGAAACTCCCCTTCCTCAGAACCAAAAAGCGGGACAACGTGGCTTGGCAGACTGATGCCGCAGCTGGCACTAGAGTTGTGTGGAAGCTCGACGAACACCTGGTACGTCAGCTACAGCAAGCACGGCTCTGTGCTATTACATGTATTTAGTGTGAGTAATCCAGGGTCTTAAGTCTAGGCCAGCCAGACGTGCGCAACGATAGGATACCTATGATCTCTTTATCCAAACTAGACCAACCAAGGTACTCGGAGGAACGGGGAGAAGACAACCTGCGGGAAATGACAACATTGACATTTCATCAAAAATATGAGCCGTCTTCATGTTCTCCTGAGGCCTTAGTGTTGTTCGCCTCGTGCCCTACATTTCGTCCCAGAGGAAAATCTTCGTCGGTGGATGCCGATGCGCCCGACGCTGCACAACAGAGCAGTCGAGTTGCGATCCTCGTTGCGGTTCTTCGTGCCAGAGGAAAATCTTTGTCGGTGGATGCCGATGCGCCCGACGCTGCACAACAGAGCAGTCGAGTTGCGATCCTCGTTGCGGTTCTTCGTGCCAGAGGAAAATCTTTGTCGGTGGATGCCGATGCGCCCGACGCTGCACAACAGAGCAGTCGAGTTGCGATCCTCGTTGCGGTTCTTCGTGCCAGAGGAAAATCTTTGTCGGTGGATGCCGATGCGCCCGACGCTGCACAACAGAGCAGTCGAGTTGAGATCCTCGTTGCGGTTATGCGCCGCCACAGCTGTCTGATCATGTGTCGGCGTGTCACATGTATGTCCGCGTTGTGGCAGGTGTGAGATGGGAGGATTGGCTGTGTACCCCAGTGAACCTTCGCCATGGTATGAGTTTGAGCTGCTCAAGAGGGGCACAGGCGAGGGCAGTGGTCCGACCCTCTTCCTCCATTACAAGGTGATTCGGTATCGAGGATGCTCCATCCCCACGCGGCTGACTATTTCGTGGTGGTGTCGGATATTTGTTTCCGGCATCGCGGCACGAGGTCAATGTGTGATGCAAGGAAAATCGGAGCAAGTCGTCGTTACCCGGCCCGGTGCCAATACAACTAACCAATCGCGCTCCCTTGGCGCACAGGGAACTTCAGTTTGGTGCCTTACAGCAACGGTTGCCCAACCATATTCCCTCGGTCGATAGCAAGGTCGGGTAAAGCGCTTGCCGCTAGTGCAACAATGCTAGAAAGCGCGGTGCATGCGAGGGGAACCGCGTCATCAACCGGACGAGGGACAAACATACCAGCAAGACGGCATCAGACAGTACGTAGTACATAGGAAATGTGAACGAACACAGTCCAAATGCTGATGGTGGTGTATCGTGAGGTGGTGCAGTCGTGGATAATGCTCGACGAATGAGGCCCACAAAAGTGAGCATACCCTTCTCATGACTACATCTCTCGACATGCCCGCAAGGGAAAGAAGGTGTCAGTTTTTTCGCAACCATCAGTCGCACATCGAGTCGACAAGAGCGTTCAAAACCAAGCCTGTCAATCGTGTTTGATGTTTCTCATTCACCGCTCGGCGACACTCGCTTGTGGACATGATTGCCTGCCCGCGTGCCGGGTGACCAAAATCCTGACTTTGCCCGCCCCGGTGGTTGCATGAATGCTGTTGTCGAAGTAATCCGCTACTGCCCGAGCACTACGACCAAGTGTTCAACGATGGAGACCCTTTCAGGCCTGTGTTCTTGCTCATCATGCCCCACCTTTCGGGTACGGATCTGCGAACCACCCCAATGCTTCAGGGCAGCAACAAGCATGTCATTCCGGGCATGTCGTGGAAAGGCCATCCGGAAGGCTGCAACCAGGGAGGACGGAGACACAGAAATTTCTTCGAAGACTACCCTCCGTGCATCTCGGGGCCGGCCTCGACTCGGGAGCAGCTGACGGGGTGCCTGTGGAATACGTCTTCACGATGCATGGGGTTCGTTCCGAGCGAGTCCAGGCGGTGAGATATACCTGACGCATTTGAACACCTGGACTTGGCCCTGGCTACATTGACAATCAAAGCGCACCAAACCTCGAAGTCTCTTCAGTGGTATGTTTTATGCCGTGCCGCCCACGGAGTTGGCACCCTGTCTTGAGCTTTCGCGGGCTTGGGGCGGTTTCTTCGTTCATGAGAATTATGGGTGAAACTCGTGGATTTTGCCACGATCGTAGTATGGCAACTACCAACCTTTGCTGTAGTTTGTATTTCTCCTGTTTTTGCGTGCGTGGTGAATCACTTGCCTTGGCCATGGATGTGCCGGATTTTTCCATATAACCAGCGTCCAAGGAATCATTTTTGGTCGTCACCGTGATGCTGTCCGTACGACTTTGCTTCAGAACGGCCGTGATGCTCCGTGACCCTCGGGACGTTGTCCTCTCGGAGTTTAGAATGCGGCGAGACTATTACCACCAGGAGGAAGTCATGGCTATCTCCGTAGACGACTTCATCTGGGACCGGTTTCAGGTGAGATTGCGCCAGCCCGTCGGCACGTCGTGGCATGCTTCCCTTGGGCATACCGGGGCCTGATGAGTTTCCCTTAGCACGTCTCAGCTTGATGTTGCGAGGTTGCGGCACACATCGTGTGGTTTTGCCACGACGGACTGTTTCTCCCGTTGGGCGTTAGAGGTGGCCAAGGTTCCCGGTTCAACGACCAGCGTGCGCACTCCTTGTTCTCTTATTTTTCAGGAGGTCCTCAATTCACGGTTCAAGGAAACCTCGAAACATGTAGTACACTGACCTATCCGAGCCGAAACCTCCTTCGCGATGGACGCCTGAAGGCAAACGAAGGACCGTCTGCAGACCCCCCACAGTTCCGTATATTGACGACCAAGAAGGCATGCAAAAATAAGGGCATAGGCCCAGAAACCGTGATCGCATCCACCTCAAATCTTGCCGCATCGAACCAACGAGCCCCCCATCGCGTCGACTACGCGATCGATCTCTCGGTGACACACACCGTGCGCATTCATTCCCTCGCTTGCTGTGGTTGTTTCCATTCCTCGTGAAGACCATCGTTTCTTGGACGCACCAGCGGTGGGTATGGCATACGGAAACAGTCCTAAGCGAGTCGTCCCACGTTATGTTTTACGATGATCTCCAGGTAAGGATAACATATTTTCAACGTTCCCGCTTGGCTACCCTCCTCCTTGAGTCTCAAGTTTAACGAGTCATCCCTTCCCAACGTGATGGATGACTCTGCACAGTAATCAAGTCAACACATGTCACTTGTACTCTCTCTCTCTCTCTCTCTCTCTCTCTCTCTCTCTCTCTCTCTC